TAGCTGTTTATAATTAACATAAATAAATAAATAAATAAATAAAATAAATAAATAAATACAGTCTACCTTTGACTGGTGATGATCTTTTAGTTGATGGAGAGTGACGAGGTACAACAGATTGACGTGGTGGAGCAACAGCTGCCAAATATGGAGAACGTACTAATAATTAAAAAAATTAATAATAAAATACTGTAAATATATAAAGTTTTCACAAATTTTGTCATAATATTGATTTACCTATTGATGAAGCTCTTTTAGGTTTAACAGCTCTGTGTGTTGGTCTGGGGGAAGATGGTAGCTGTATTGTCAAAGGAGGCCTAACCTTCTCATCATCATCTTCACCATAAAGAAGATTTATCTGTAATGGAACAGATATGGGTTACCATAGCAACCACACAACACCCTCTTATTGTAAAATGTCCTCTCTCTCTCTTTCTCTTACCAGTGAACTTGATGGAGTAGAGGTTTCTAGCATTTTGAATATAAATAGGAAGAATTATAGTTAGCTTGTTAAAATTCCTTCAGTAATTTGAAATTAATTGCTGCGGCTCGAGGACCGGCCCACCATTTTAATTAGGTCACACCTCCAAACTGATTGGATGGTCACGTGATCTGATTAGGCGGGAGCCTGGCCTGCCGCGCCGGAGGGGGAGGATCACGTGCTAAAATATTTTATTTATTTTAATATTTTCTTCATTTTCCTGTTTGAGTTTTCTCCTTTTCTCTGTGTTTCTTTTTGAAAATGAGTTCTGATTTTTATTTGAGGTATTATACTGGCCATAAAGGAAAGTTTGGACACGAGTTTTTGGAATTTGAATTTCGACCAGATGGTAAAATAACCCAATTTTTATATTTAACCTGTTTTTGTCCACACAGGAAGATTAAGATATGCTAACAACTCTAATTATAAGAACGACCAAATGATTAGGAAGGAAGTGAGTTGTACTTAAATGCCATAGGATCTGTAATAATTGTGGTTTTATAAGCAAGGGGTGGGGAATAGGTGTTGTATAGTTTGGTGGTGCTAGCATGTGGTAACCCCATTTTTAAAATGGCTGTAACTCAAAAATTTCTAGTCAGAATCAGCTCAAACTTTCTACACAGCATAAGGACATCAATATGTATTGGAAAATATAATAAAAATTGAGGGTGATTTCGGAGCCATTTTTTAGAAAAAACCATGGGCTATAGCCTTGGGTAATTTTCAGAATTTTGACATTTTTAAAAAATGGCCGTAACTTGAAAAATTTAAGTCGGAATCAGCTCAAACTTGCTACATAGCATAAGGACGTCAATATGTATCAGAAAATGTAATAAAAATTGAGAGTGATTTCGGAGCCATTTTTTGGAAAAAACCATGGGCTATAGTACAGGGAATTTTTCAGAATTTTAGCATTTTCTTAAAATGGCCGTAACTCAATAAATTTAAGTCGGAATCAGCTCAAACTTTCTACACAGCATAAGTACATCAATATGTATCAGGAATTGTAATAAAAATTGAGGGTGATTTTGGAGCCATTTTTTGGAAAAAACCATGGGCTATAGTACAGGGAATTTTTCAGAATTTTAGCATTTTTTTAAAATGGCCGTAACTCAATAAATTTAAGTCGGAATCAGCTCAAACTTTCTACACAGCATAAGTACATCAATATGTATCAGGAATTGTAATAAAAATTGAGGGTGATTTCGGAGCCATTTTTTGGAAAAAACCATGGGCTATAGTACAGGGAATTTTTTAGAATTTTAGCATTTTTTTTTAATGGCTGTAACTCAATAAAATTAAGTCGGAATCAGCTCAAACTTTCTACACAGCATAAGGACACCAATATGTATCAGGAAATGTAATAAAAATTTGTGGCAATTTCGGAGCCATTTTTTGGAAGAAACCATGGGCTATAGTACAGGGAATTTTTCAGAATTTTAGCATTTTTTTAAATGGCCGTAACTCAATAAATTTAAGTTGGAATCAGCTCAAACTTTCTTCACAGCATAAGGACATC